TTTTTTTTTTTACTATTAACGTGAAATTTAAACTCCACACTTGTTAAATTTAATCGGAAAAGTTTTTAATAAAGTGAAATGACTATTAGGTCATGAATACGTTTTCAAACTATTACATTTTTTTTTGTTTGTTCTTTCGATAACAAAATGCATATTAATAGTTGGATGAAGGATTATTTGCAAAAGAAGATTAGTTAGTGGCTGCCATAATTTTTCAGGGAATAAGTAAATTCGAAGAGGATAATCAGGAATTTAAGAAGTGGCACTGACCACATCTAAGGGGGAATTTTTGTGGCTGGATAACTTTGAATTTACTTCCAGAGGCTAAATTAATTGATTTTGGCTTTGGGGAGATGGGGAATGAAAAGTGCAAAGCAACGAATAAGCCTGAGCAATCGACAAACCAAGATAAGAACAGAGAATTTGAACAATTTACTGCCTGTTTGATTAGGTTATATATTGATTAAATTATAAAAATAAGTTAAAAACTTCCTAGAAGTAGTTAAACTTTGATGTCAAATTTTCTTTTTGCATTAGCATATACAAATTTCTTAAAAAATGCATAGAAAAAAATCCCTTAAAAATGAAAGCAATAATTTTTTTTTCATTCATTTATTAGTTTAAAATTTGTAGCATTTAGATTTAATTATTCTTAATTTAGTAAGCAAGTTTATTAAATTTAGCTATTTTTATAATTTAATTAAGGATTCATTTGAAATTATTGTGTTGGACTATACTATGACATCGGTTTTTTTTTATCATTTTAAAAATATATAAAGTGTTAATTCAAATTTATAAAAATATATAAAATATTAAATAAAATTAATATAAATATACTTTATATATTTTATATATTTTTTGAATGTTAAAAGATTAATTAAGGATTCATTTGAAATTATTGTGTTGGACTATACTATGACATCGTTTTTTTTTTATCATTTTAAAAATATATAAAGTGTTAATTCAAATTTATAAAAATATATAAAATATTAAATAAAATTAATTAAAAATAATAATTTTATATTTTTAAGTATGATATTGTATAAAAAAATTTGTAAGAAACATTCTTAAATCAAGTCTAAGATTTCATTTGTATGCATCCATCATACTGCTTTAGAGCATTTTAGAGCAAAAAGTTCAAACTTTAGAGCAATTTCATATGTATATCAGGTTTTTTTTTTTATAAGACTTGATTAATTAATACATTCCCATTTGCACAAAAAAAAAAAAACATCTGACCCGCTATCAAGTCCACTTTACTCTTTTCATATAATTAATTTAAGGACAATTATACATACACCTAAAAAATCAACACCCATCTCAACACCCAAGCTTATAAATAATAAAATTATAAATTTACCCCTCATCATTTTAGCCTTGGGTGTTGAGATGGATGTTTGATGTTTTGGGTGTATATATAATTGTCTTTAATTTAATCACTTTCTCATGTCAACAAGTTTATGCTTCATTAAGTAATCACTTTCCCTTATAAAACCCCTAGAAAATATGAGTATGGAGAATACCGTAACCCATTTTGAAGGTTGATCTGATCAAATCTAGTCAAATTTGTAAAACTCGACCGGCCAACCCGGGGATCCGGTTGATTGAATAACAAATTCAATATTATTGTCTACATAGCCAAGGGCGGTGGATAAGTAGGGCTGGGGGCATAAGCCCCCCTCGTCTCTTGAAAAAAATTAATATACATTTTAGTTATTTATAAAATAATTAAAACACTTATTAGAAAAAATCTTAAATTTAACCATGCTTGTTTATTTCTGTCTTTTTCTTTCAAGCTTTTGCCAATTTTAAAGTTATTCTATTCTTACATAATATATAATAATATAAATTAAAAATTAAAAATTTACATAAATTACTTTTTGAGTACTCTATTTTATAATTATGAGTTAAAAATTA